TTTCTTGAATTTTTATTGATAGAATGATAACCTTACAGTAATTCTTATTGTATATATGTATATGTACATAAATATGCTTGGAATGTTGTCTGGATGTGAACTAAAAGGCTTGTTGCATTATAACGAGTGATAGTCATGTATTCGATACTTCGGACAGCTTGATAATGCAGCGCGAGTCTGACAATTCACTTCCAGGCTACGACTTCTACAGAAAGTATCAGAGGATAATTCAAGGTAAACGTTTATTAAAATAATATAAAAATGCAAGTATAAATAATATAATGAACATGATTTTGTGTATGACTACCGTGAGTCCACGTATTAAGAAGCAAACACTTTTACATTTCATATTTAAAAAATTAATGTCTCATCTTTTTTAACAAATTTTAAAATGCACTGCTAAATACATAATATTCCAGCATATTCTTCAACTTTTTCCAAAATAAGGATTATTTATTTTAAAGCAGGCTGAAAAATACCATATTTAAATATTACTACGTATAAGAATAGTACGTACATAAATAATTTGTCTAAGAGATTTTTATGCTCACCTGCGGAAATAATCGTTGATTAGTATGTTCTGCATATGATCATTACCAGGTGCATAATTCATAAGCGGTACATTTCCCTGTTCCAAAATTTCTTTCCACGGCAACTGTAACGCGGGATCATCTGGTGGTAATGGATCTCCAGCACGCCGGGCAATGATATGTAATATGGCAGTTGCTACGATGACTGGTAATACTCTTTCAACTTTAGAAAATCGAGAACCCAGTGCTAAAATTGGAAACCGTCTTTTCCATGTTCCAAACACGCGTTCAATGGTATTGCGTGTTTTAATAAGCGACTCGTTATAGAGTTCCTGCGCACGAGTTCTTGTATTGCGTAGAGGTGTCATTAAATAGGACCGAACAGGATGACCACCATCACCTAAGAGCAAGGCATCTCCAAATATTCCAGCCTCAAATAGAGCACGTATCCTGGAATTGTTGAAAATTGTAGTATCATGCACCGATCCTTGCCAACGAGCTGCAAGGTCCGTTATTTGCAAGTTAGCGTTACAAATCGCTTGGACATTAATCGAAAAGTAACTTTTTTGATTTCTGAAGTATTCTGCATCATTTCCACCTGAAAATATTTACAATAATTATTGAAACTTCTATAACAGCAAAAAAATTTGTATGATCCCAAATATTAATAATATACACAGTTTAAACATTAATTACCAAATGACTGGATTTTTATATGAGTGCAATCTATGCAGCCTACAACTCTCGGAAATCGTGCAATGTCAAAAAACTTTATTTGCTTGGTTTTTATTTCATCCGCAAGAGTAGGAAATTTAATAAACCTTGGCCGAAGACGAGCAATAGCATTCGTTACGTGGAGGACAACTCTGTGTGCACTTGTTTTGCTCACTCCAGAAAAATCACCTGCTGATATTAAGTGGCTACCAGTAGCGTAGAATCTCAACGTCAAAAGAAGCTGGTTCATGGAAGAAATAGCATTGTTCCTGATAAATAAATAGTAGTCATAAATTAGTTACGTACAATATAAAAAATGTTAAACTACTAAACACTTTGCCCTTTGAATATATGTAAGCAACATGAATTTGAACTTCTCAACAGTAAAAACTAATTTCTTTGCGTTACTGTGGTTGTACTTATTACTGTCCATATCTTTATTATTAATAACAATCAATAATTACTATTCTTGAATGACAGTTTCGTCAATAATAAACACTCTCAGTTATAATGCTGTTTTGTAATGCTGCGTATACTCACCTTTCGGTCAGATGTGAAATTTCGGGTTCGATAGCTTCTAACACTTCAGTAACGCATTCTTTCGATAATCGGAATCGAGCGTGAAAATCAACATCGTCAAACTCGTAAAAATAAGCAGGTTGTCTTCTAACATTATTTG